TTGCGGCCCAGCCCCAAGCTACCATGGTATTTCTTGGCATTAGGGATAGGCCGAGCCGACGGAACAACATGAAACGGCTTTAGAGATTTTGGAGCCCTTCCCATCCAGTCCTCTCCAGTCAGAGCTGAGATGCAATGGTCGCGTTGGGTGCCTGGCTAGCATGAATGCAGTGTTCTCACTTGCAGGTTTTGGTGCAAAATGCAAAACGAAGGAAAAGAGGACGATGAATTCTGACAAGGGCTCTGCCAATGTGGATAGGGCCGAGAGGTGTTCAAATATGACCTTGAGACAATACAGGACATCGCGCTGGCTGGACTTCAAGACTGCCAGTGACTTGCTTGTAAGCGGCCCAATTGTTCTGAACATGGCAGAGCATGTGCAGCAGTGTTGACCTTGCAGACTTGGATTGGGGCTCAGGCTGGAGCTTTCAGATACAGCGCTGAAGATGTCCCAGAATACTTGCCGCAGGTCATGAACTGGAGAGAACGCACATAAACATCTAAAGCATGGAGTGAACCACACATAGAGGTGAAAATCATTCGATCCTTTGCCAAGAAGGCAAGAAGATGCCTTTCAGGTGTCAGCTTTTAAGAGAGCCTGCTTGTCGGCAGTGTTTTCATGAGATGCTAGCTTGCTGATGCAGGTGGAAAAGATGGAAGCAGCGATTGAAGCTGGAGACGCCACGCAGGCCAGAATCAGATCATTCCGTTGGCTCGCATGCCGTGCGGCTAAGCCTCTCTCCCTCTCCCTCCTTCCCTCCCTCCTTCCCTCCCGCAACAACTTTTTTTTGGCTGTGCAATCCATGTTGACTTTAGGCGCAGCAGCTGTATGCAAAGTCCAAGCTGGACTTGAACAGGTCTGGATCATTTTGCGAGACATCTTCAGAATTCTGCAGCCACGCCCTCCACTTGCGCTGAGGTATCTTCCACAGGTTGAGCTCGCACCCCTGGATTCTCAGGCTGCGCTGACTAGGGCATGCAGACATGTAGACGTCCGGGTCATGTTTTTTGAATATCTCCAGGACTACACCCATGAATGGGACACACGTCCGGAGGCACCGGACAGGAGGGCGGGACATGAGCTTGTCAGCTTTGTTGGCCTGAACGAGGTCATTTGCCAGGGAACGTTCTGCGTGTGATGCGTTTTTGCAGAGAATGCATTAGTTAGATGATCTACAGAAGGCGGCTACCATAGGCGCAGGAAGCCTGCTGGTCTGCATCATTAATGGGACCTAAACTGCCTCGGCCTAGCTCTACTAAATCTGCGCCAGCCCTTGCTGCAGTGTCCTACACACATCGTAGGAGACAAGAAATGTCTTACTTGCATTTTTCCGCGGCCACATGCTCCACCATGGTGTGCCGTCACGGTTTTGATGCATGGAGTGGGCACTACTCGTGTGATGAACTTTGGAATCAACCTTTGTAGTATGTAGACGTTTTCCTACAGTTAAGGTTTCCTCGCTGCGGCACGTGGGTACCAAGAATTGCGCCCATGGGCAAGGTTTGGTTTGGCTCGGCCCTTCCATGCTTTCTCCATGTGCGAGCCAAGCTCACGCATTGCCACCCCGGACACTCTCCTTGCCATGCTTGCAAAAGTCCATGTGCAGAGAATGTGCTTGAATTTCGGCCACTATGACTGAGCTCCTCTACGAAGCACTTGCGGTATTTCATAGGATGTCATTTCATGGAGACGGCGTATTTGCATGAGCCATTGACACAGTGTTGACAAAGTGGCACACTGTTTAGCCCCTGCAATCTGGACTGATGATAGTGACCGTGGAAACTCCCAGCTGTTGTTTTTGCATTCTTTTTCATTTGGTGAAGCGTCATATACATGCTAACCAGTACGACATATGCGCATTAACGCTGCATAGCCTGGTTATAGCACCCTGCCAAGCTTGGAGCAATCACAGATAATATTTAGCGCAGTCTCAAATTCAGCCAGCAAAACTGACGAAGCAGTGCAAGCGCGCAGCATGGGCTTCGGCAGTCCGCGCAGGCGGCTGCAGGCCAGTGCTGCTCGTGGGGGGGAGGCTGG